ACTTCTCTAATCCTAGAATAAAATTAATATTTTAACATCTAGGTATGGTTGCCTGTCACGTTGTAATACTTTGTAGCACTATGGTAGTATTTGACAAGTTTCTTGTGATAACTTGTCTGTAGGCAGAGTGCTATATTTATTTTAAGCTTAATAAGCGCGATAGTGAAAAGAGGGTCAGGCATACGAGGCAAAGAATGGAATTAATGAATTATCGATAACCTTTTGTTACCTGCAGTTGTTCACAGGTCTTTTGCTTCTGACATGTGCACACGTAGCATGTGGATGCTGCTTCATTCTGGGACAGTTCTGGTTCACATTTGTGCATCTGTAATTTTTAACATTTTCACAGCTATCGGAGCGTGAAGTTTTTATGCTGTGCGCACTCCGTAAGGAAAGAGATTGAAATGAGTTTGGGGGAAATTACTTTCTACAACTATTTAAAGTAGTATTTACGAAAAGACTTTGGTTTGCTCTTTTTTGTTCGTTTTGTAAGATTATAGTCAGGCCACGAGGAAAAAATAAGATATATGTAGGGAGATGTCATAGAAACAACTATGATAGTACTTTTTCTTAATTGTTAATGTGGTTTTATTATGACTATTGCTATGTTTACATATAAGTTCCTAAACAGGACTGTAATTTGCCATGCTTATCTATTTTGAGTAGCATTTTCTATGTATTTTAGTGTTTTGCAAGTAACTTCATTGGTTTTGGATAAAACCAAAGGGATTATACAGGGAATCCAAATGGCAAATCCTGTGGCCTGCCGATCGGACGCATCCCTGTCTCCTCGGGAGCAGTGAGGACCCCTGGTAGAATCATAGAATCATTCAGGTTGGAAAAGACCCTTGGGATCATCAAGTCCAACCATTAACCCTACACTACAAGTTCACCCCTAAACCATATCCCCCAACACCACATCTAAACAACCTTTAAACACCTCCAGGGATGGTGCCTCAACCACCTCCCTGGGCAGCCCATTCCAATGTCTGACTACTCTTGGTGAAAAATTTAAATTTTTTTCCTAATGTCCAGTCTAACCCTCCCCAGTGGCAGTTTGAAGCCATTCCCTCATGTTCTATCACTAATTACCTGGGAGAAGAGACCAGCACCGACCTCTCTACAACTTTCAGGGAGCTGTAGAGAGCAATGAGGTCTTCCCTCAGCCTCCTCTTCTCCAGACTAAACAGCCCCAGCTCCTTCCATTGCTCTTCATAAGATTTATTCTCCAGGCCCTTCCCCAGCTTTGTTGCCGTCCTCTGCATTCGCTCCAGCACCTCAAGATCTCTCCTGGGTTGAGGTGCCCAACACTGGACATGGAACTCAAGCCGTGGCCTCACCAGTGCCGAGTACAGGTGGAGAATCCCCTCCCTGCTCCTGCTGGCCACACTATTTCTAATACAGGCCAGGATGCCCTTGGCCACCTGGGCACACGCTGGCTCACGTTCAGCCGCTTGTTGATGAGAAGGGCCAGGTCCCTTTCTGCCAGACAGCTTTCCAGCCACACTGCCCCAGGCCTGTGGGTTGTTGTGGCCCGTGTGAAGGACCTGGCACTTGGCCTCGCTGAAGCTCGTGCCATTGGCCCATCCATCCCATCTATCCAAGTCTCTCAGTAGGGCCTCCCTCCCCTCGTGCACATCAACACTCCCGCCTAACTTGGCGCCATCTGCAAACTTCCTGATGATGTGCTCCATGTCCGTACCGAGTTCATCAATAAAGACGTCACACAGAGATGGTCCCAATGAGCCCTGAGGAACACCACTTGTGGCCGGCTGCCAGCTGGGTTTAACTCCGTTGACCACCACTCCGTGGGCCCATCCATCCAGCCAGTGCGTTATCCAGCAGATCATATGCTCGTCCAAGCCATGAGCAGCCAATTTTTCCAAGATAATTCTAGGGGGAGCAGTGTCAAAGGCTCTTCAAAAGTCTAGGTAGACAAGGCAGTCTAGATATCCACAGTAGTCGGGTCATCGTACATGGTACATGTACAGGGAGAGGCTGAAATATGCACCACTCCTCTCAGGCCTCACCAGCTATCTCACGGGGCTTTTCAGAGACAGGTAATGCAGATTTTGACGTAATAAACTATTTTTTTTCCTTTGATTATCCCATTCAGCATTGAAAAATGAAGGCTGGCTCTCCTGTAGGACACAGCAGCTTGAGCCATTTGGTTTTCTCTGTGCTCCCTCTTCCTATTTTATTTTTTTTTTCGTTTTTAAATTACATGGTTATTATCTGTGAAAATCATCAGCAGTGGAATAGCTGATAACAAAATGCTGTCATTGGGCTCTAGAGCTAATAGCCAAATGAGATAACCAGGGAGCAAGCAGTTAAACCTGTAACTGCTTCTGCCTGCAGATTCAGGTGGTGTAACATCAGCTACTCTCCACTCGTGAGGGGAAGGATGCTGCCATTGCTGGCAATTACAAATTAAAAGCTGTAAAAAGTCATAACTGGGAGACGGGGGATGTAAACGCGCACTGAAGACTAAGTCAAGCTTACAGCCTGTTTTTAATGCCCTTTCTTACAAAGCAGAAGACATAATTATAAAACAAAACAAACAAAAATGCCAAACAAGCAAAAACCAAACAGAAAAAACCCTACCCCCAAAAAAACCAACCAAACAAACAAGTTCACAAAGGGAGCATCTCCCTGTTTTATGTAGGAAGCTACCTAAACACGAAGACATGCTTACGTAGGATGCAAATTCAGGGTTTGTTGTAACATAAGTGCAGGGTTTTTTTTCTATTTGGAGGTAAGTATGCTGATGTCACTGTATAGGAAGGCTTCTGTATGAAGGAGCAAGGCACCAGAATCAAGGCTGAATAAGCACAATTAACATTAATATTTTATGTAATTGGGTAAGGGAAATTTAATCTTTCCAACAACCTGTCACCCGACCAGCCACACAGCACGCAGCCACGACACCTGAAGGGAGGAGGTGGCTGGGAAGGGGTTTTGATGTTCAGGTACATTTTCCTATTGAAAACAAATCTGAATTGCCAATATGAAACTCTTGAGAGCCTGGTGTGCTGCTAAATGGTACCATGGTAAGGGATTGCTTCACAGCGTGCTGGGACCGTTTGGGACTTGGATATTGGCAGGTACAGCCACAGGCAGGAGAAAGTCAGTGTTAAGTGTACGGCTCTGAGTATCTCGATAATTGGAATCCGGTGGTACTCCGCGGCCTCTCGAGGTTGGGAACTACAAACAGTCAACCCCTGGTTGGGTTGGGGCCAAAAAGTGTCAATTTAAAGGAACTGGTGCTGTGATTTTTTAATTAAATCACACCCACACACACAAATCCGCAGGCAAACCAACAAAATAAACACGACAGGGCTCTCCCTTGCAAAGTGTTGTGAGGGGTTTGGTTTGGTTTGGTTTGGTTTTTTCTCTCTGCTTTAGCTGGAGTAGAAACAACACTAGAGTATCGCTGCACGGGGTTGACAAATACTTTTCTAAGTTTGGACTAGAAGCTTTTTTGCAAACCACCCACTCTCCTCACTGGCTCCGGGTGGACCTGAGCCAGCTGACGCTGGCCCAGGGAACTGCTGCGCAGGGTCAAGCGGGAGCTGCTCTCGATTCAGCGCAGGCTGGAGTGGATCATACAGCTCGTCTCCCTTTCTTGCTTTTGCGCCTTCTGGAGCCAAAAAACCTCCTCCTTTGGGTACCGAGCATCCTCAGGGTACACCGGCCTTGCAGCGTGTCCCAGCCGTGCTGAGCGTGGTCGGTGCTGAGTAGGGGGTTGCTACTCTTCGCCGTCTGCTTTAACCTAAGTTTAGGCAACTGAGTAATGCTGTTGAGATGAGAAAATTGGTGATGAAATTGTTCACGTGCCTGGCGTTAGTGCGCTTTCAGATACCTTGTTGACTGCACGTTGAATCTTGGGGTTTTGGAGGGTTGTTTGGTTTTTTAACCCGTCTGAAGTTTCCTTTGCGCTGTTGCTTTGCCAAAACCAGGTTTCTTTTGGGAAGCACAAATGTAAATTGAAGAGAGGATACCGAGCATTAGTGTATTAAGTATCCTTACTGTAAAGGAAGGTTGATTCATCAATTTCTTGATCTTCTTTATTTTGTTTGCTTAGGAGGTTTTGATTTTTCTATTACCAGTAAAATAATAGAAGTTTCTTATTTCAGAAGGGACTGTGAACACTTCCTTATTATTAGTGAAATATAATGTATGCTTTAACGAGCACAATAGCTATTATCTGCCCAAAACACGTATATTCACTGTGCAATCAGCAGTTTCATACGTAAAATTAATACTTAAATGGTGCCAGGAGTATTAAAGTATGTAATTGTTATTATTTAAATGTCCTGAGTTTATTTGGTACAGCCATGTTTTTCTTGTATATATTTTCATTCTGTTTTCATAATCTACATTTCTAAGACATCCAGCAGTTAGGCTATATATGGTTATACACGTATTAGCTGCTTTTTCATTCGTTCCTGTATAATCCAGTATTATTAAATTCTATGGACTAAGGAGCTGATCCTGTTCATTAAAATCAATAGATGTGGCATTGCCCTGTATGTGTGTGTGGTGCTTTTTGTGGTTTAGTTTTTCTTTGTAGGATGTACCCTTCAGCTCAAAGCAAAGTGATATATATATATATATAAATGTTGTGATGCTTTAGGCTTTACTTGAGGAAAATACCCACTGATGTCAGTGCTGGAATAGGATCAGTCTTTTAAAAGGATAGTTTATTTGAAACTGCTGTAGCTATTATTATTTCCTTCTGCAGAAAAATAATTTTACTCATCAAAGCTTTAGAAACGGCATCAAGAAGGCTACGATCAGCAGGTCATTCAACCATGAGAGACGTCAACCATCACTGCGTGGTGGTACATGCCAATGACTGCTCAACCATCTCTTTTCTTTCTCATCTTCATTTATTCATTTTTGTGCTCCAACTCTTACTGGCATCTAAAATCACTAATCTCTATCCATTACCGTTTTTTGCTAATTTACAGTGATAACTGTGGCTCTGTTTTCATTAGGAGATGAAAGCCGGGAAATTAAAAAACAAATTACAGGGATGAGAAGATTACTGAATGACAGCACTGGAAGAATCTATCAACGAGTTGGCAAAGAAGGAGAAAAACTGAAGGAGGAGCCCCAAGATTTAGATTTAGCCTGGGCTCAGCGCCTGAATCCCCCTGCAGAGTCCCAGGCCAGCCTTCATCCGTCACAGAGCGGTGCATGGAATGAATTATCACCCCAAGCTAGCCATTTTTCAGGGCAATATGGAACTCGCTCCAAAACGTTCCAAAATCAAACACGAACCGTGACATCCAATGGTATGATCTGCGTTAGATACTGAGAATAATACTTTTTTTTTCCTCCCCTCTCTCTCTCCTTGTACTGTACTAAATTTCTGCCGTTGTTGTGATGATTTATTGTGTCGCTGCACTGAAAGCAGTTATAGTTCAGAGTCTACAAAATGAGCACATAGTTATCACTCTGAAAAGGTGTGAAAGTGGGCATGGTGCATTCTGCTGCCATCTGTCTTAGCTTTTAAAATGGATTCCTGGTGATAGGACGGAATTACTCAATGCTGTTACAAGCTTAATTTCTATACAGTACTTTCTAAAAGAGCTTTTGCCATTGTTATTAAATTCATAGCTAATTAAATGTCAACCTCTACCACTCCTCTTTGCCGTGAGTAATGTAACGCTGTTGTGACACCACTGGCAGAGCAGGATTCTACTGACTTTCTAAGGCATCAGCCTTAGAACTGAACTTGGGGTACAAAATCCCATCGCAGCCTTAGGCTTTGATTCCGATGGGACCATTGGAGAAAAGAGATGGTGAGGTTTTACCTATGAACAGCAAGTACTAGAGCATAGTCCATCTTGTGCTGGCAGAGAGTTCTGCCCTAGAGTAGATGGCAGTGTGCCCTTAAAACGCTTTTCTCTTGTTCCAAGTTGCAGAGAATGGAGGTTTTACTGCCAGATTTCTGAAGGTTTCTTGAAGGATCTAAATTCAATTCGGAAATTTTTTCTCCAGACGTTCAACTCTAGATGGAGAGAGGTGGGGGGGGTTATATTAAAGGGATACCACAGTTCTAAGTTCTAGAAAATAAAAAGTTGTGAGGTTGTACCTAAAAACGTTGCCAGTTTCCAGCTGAGTCTGAACATATTCACACTTCCCAATAGGAGCATCTGCTGTGTATCCTTCTCTAAAGGCATGTGAATTCTTATTGCTTGTAGTAGTTAAAAACAAAGTTGTTCTCAGTAATGTCCTTTAAGAAGAGCCGTCATTGCACTAAAAAACCACACAGCCCTAGGTTTCCCCAGGTTGACTGTTTCTCTGCAGAGACAGTGATTCACACAGAGGTTGACCTGGAGAAGGTTGTTGCAGTAAGTCCTGCTAGCTTTATTTATTTTTATAATACAAAAAAATAAGTTGTGGGTTGTTTCTTTTTTTAAAGGTGCAGATCCCAGGTAGAGGGGAAAACACTTTGTGGGCTTTAGCATCCAAATCTAAAATTGTGCTCTCAGAATGCCACGGTAACATCTTTCTAAATGTAGAAGGACCCCAAATTCGTTGCAATTCCCTGTTTTGCCCTGGAGTCCCTGGGCACCGGCAGGGACAGTTCTCTGCATGCACAGAAGTGCCCCAGCCTGCACAGATTAGGTACCTGGTTCCCAGATCCAGAAAGTAGGTGGAACAGCACCTCTGTCCCCTCGGGGGCCTGATTCAGCAGGTAAGCTAAAACATGTTGACAGGATTTGGCCCCATATGCAGGAAAATGTCAGTGCTTTTATTTTTTTTTGTACGAGGAGGAAGGGTTCAGCTGATTTATGATCTCCTACAGGTTAGAAATGGTCTGTGAGGCAGTAGAAAAGTTGGATTGAGTGACCTGCTGGGCTGGACAGGAGGAATGTCCAGGCTCCCAGCTCCTGGGGAGGTACACCAGGAGGCACCTTCCCACCCTCCCTCTGCAGCTGTCCTGCGGTAGAAAGGAATGCAGTCTTTTAGGTTATTACATAAACATGGGTGTGGGCCCTTTGTGCTGGCCACCTTTGTAAAAGTGATCTGCGTAGCTCCTCGGTTAGAGGCAGCTACGTCCAGCAGAGTGTTGCGATCCTGCCGGACGGTTTTGCTGCTGCTTTGGTTCCAAAGCCTGGTCTCTAGGAAGAGAAAACTTCTGATGCGCTGCTGGGCTGTGAGCGAGCTCTGAAACTGCTCCTCACCCAACATGCAGCCCTTCTGGGTGACCGTTGTGATGTGCCTGATTCCCCCCCATCCCTTGCACTGGGAGCCTGAGCACCTATTTTGCATATTATTCAGAGGATGGACGAAGTTCCTAAAAGCTGGGCGTGGAAATGCTGAACAATACCTCCAGGGAGATCATAGAATCATAGAATGTTCGGGGTTGGAAGGGACCTCTAGAGCTCATCTAGTCCAACCCCCTGCCAGAGCAGGATCCCCTAGGGCAGCCACACAGGAACGCATCCAGGTGGGTTTTGAAAGTCTCCAGAGAAGGAGACTCCACACCCTCTCTGGGCAGCCTGTGCCAGGGCTCTGTCACCCTCAAAGGGAAGAAGATTCTCCCCATGTTGAGGTGGAACTTCCTGTGTTCTAACTTAAACCCATTATTTCTTGTTCTGTTGCTGGGCACCACTGAGAAGAGATTGTCCCCTTCCCCTTGACACCCACCCCTCAGATATTTATACACGTTAATAAGGTCCCTTCTCAGTCATCTCCTTTCAAGGCTAAACAGCCCCAATTCTCTCTTCACGGGAGAGATGTTCAAGTCTTAATCACCCTCGTAGCTCTCCCTTGGACTCTCTCCAGTAGGTCCCTGTCTCTCCTGAACTGGGGAGCCCAAAACTGGACACACTGTTCCAGGTGTGCTCTCATCAGGGCAGAGTAGAGAGGCAGGAGAACCTCCCTAGACCTGCTGGACGTGCTGCTCCTTGGTACTTCCTGTGATGTTTAAAGTCCTCAGAGCAAAACTGTTGCTGTACGATATAAGCTGGGGCTGTCAGGCCTAGGTTGGCACTGGGGAGAAATCCAGGCATCCAGAGCAGATGATCTGAGTCCAGAAATGGTTTCTGTCCCGTTGCGGAGAGACACCATATAGGAAGGCAGGAGGTGTGTGTAGGCTGGCTGAATTACTCAAATTTGAATGCAACAGGCACGCTAAGTCCATCCGATTTGTAGAGCTGTCTTCTTGCATGGCCAAGCTGGGTCAAGGAGAGGCTGGGATGGATGTTTGATAGGTGCTGATACAGAAAGCAGTCGTGAAAAAGTTATCGGCAACAACAGAGTAACAGAGAAAGGAGGAGTGGGTGGAGCCTGGGAGTTGCTGCAACAGAGGTAAGAGTGGGAACATACTTGAAAAGCAAAGTGATTTATTCCAAACCAGATTTAAGGTGGCAGTTCCTCAAGTCAGGGTGTTAGGTAGACATCTGTCACCCACTGCATTTAGTGGGAGCGTCTTGGGGGTCACAAACAGAGGGGAGCATGGCTGCTCTATTAGAGACAACAAACTTGTAGTCTGTCTGAAACATTTCAATTTCTTGTGTTCTGTAGCAAATCCCACAGCAATGCAGCAGCTGAACTGCTTTTTGGTTATGTCAAGATCGTTTTCAGTGGATTGCACTTGCGCGCTTCTTGAGCACAAACTTGTGGCAGCAATGTTACAGCAGGTGAATTCACTCTCAGCAGAGCCAGCGGCAGAAACCACTGTCCTGGGCAACTTGTTGCTCACACAGGGAGACAACTGATGTATTTGTGTCGTCTCCTTCTCTCAATCGTACAAGCTGCTATCAAATTTGCCTACTGGCTAGCTTCCAAAAGAGAGGGAGATGGCTCTTTAAAGACTCTTCCGTAAAAATAAAAAGTCTGTTCTCCTTTTAAAATTAAAAATTGATTTATAACAAGTTGAAAAGGATTGCTTTTGTCCTCTAAAAATGATAAAGATAGTGCTTGGAACAATGACTGAGAACACTACAAGATGTTTCTTACAGCGCAGTAACTGATCAGAGGAGGAAGGATAGAAAGAAAATAAAAAACTTTCATGAATATGTATGAAGTCAGTAGAACCCTGCTTTGACCTGAAATATTGGTGGTCTCTTTTGCCATTTCCAGTACCTGTGGTAGATTTACATGGGTAATTTCTATCAATGCTAATGGGGATTATAATGTAAATCCCCCACGCCTCAATGGGAAAATAGACCTTTTGGTTTTCCATCAGGAGCCTGTGTGCCTGCACACTTTCATTAGCAGCATGTTTTATTGCAACAGGAGAGGTGTACAGAAATTTACTGATACACTTTGTCCAAGTTTTCAATGCAATTCACCATGATCTAGAGTCTTTGTTAAGAAGGAAACAAAAGCCACCAGCCCCATCTCCTGTTGTAGCCTTGCAGACGTTATTTCCAGAACGCCACTAGAGTATTGGATTCTGATCAAGAGAGAGGAGAGGCTTTATCGCAAGGAGCTTGTTAGTCTAAAACAACTGAAAAAGCACTGGAGAAAGGATGTTCTTACTATGTATTTGTCTTCTATTAATAAAATTCTTTCTGGGACTTCATTTCTGGGGTACCTGCGTGTCTTACTGAAAGGTAACGCTGTTGCTATTAAATTATGAGTAGTATTGAACCTCCTGTACTTAAAAATCTACTTTAACAGGTAGGTAGAAGGTATTAGTGGAGCTAAGTTGAGGGATTCTGAGTAATCTTCTGCAAAGCTAAAGATAACTTTTTCTTCTTTTTATTTTTTTTTTCCCCCTCTCTACCTGTAACAATGGGCTAAACCCTTCAGGGACCATTGAAAAGATAAAATCCCATCCATGCCCCAAGGAACTTTCAGTGGATAGACAACATATAAAGGAAGGGCAAGATCAAGCTAGGCAGAGTCATGCTGAGTCAGTAACCTCTTTTTGTTTTCATTTGAGACTCAGCCTGTTTTCCAGATCGCTTTTTACTCTAAAAAAGTTTTTTTTATTTACAGCTGAAACCTTGGAGAGAAGAAGCCAGTGAAACTATTGCATTTGTATTTGCTGGATTTCCAGAAATTCTTAAACTACTCCATTTATCTTAATGCAGTAGTGACAGTTTTTTCCCGTGGATGATATTTTAAAATACCAAAATTTGTAATTGCGGTAGTGTGGACAAACTAAGTATTGCTGAGGAAAGGAGGAGAGCGACACTCAGAAGATGTCAACATCAGTTTAGCTTCCCAAGTAGCTCCCTTTTGGGAGAATGACCACCAGTTTGCTCAAGTCTGATAGATGCTTCTTCAGAGCTGAAGGACTGAATGGAAGGAGGTAGAGAACAAGTGCCTGGGAAAGGAGATTTGAGGATGGAGGGACACACTGGAAGAACTAGGAAAGGGTGGGAGAGGTGGCCAGATTTTCAGCCGTTTCAAATGAAGGCTGAAGTCAGGGAATCTCTGTGGGTCTGACATCAGGCAGCTCTGATGAAAGAACCCAAACCAGACCTAAGAAGGTTTGTGTTCTAATAAACTGGTTTGGCTTTGGAGGAAAGCAAAAGTAATAACGAAAAATGGGAGAATTTATGAGCGAAGTTTAAATGAGTTGCTTATGTTCACTTTAGCCAGGTAATGATTAAAGGGCACCTAGTAACTGTCAGGCTATGGAAGAAAAGAGAAATACACTCTCTGAAGTCCAGCACACTAAGTGAGGTGATTTTTGTTAGATCAGTTTGTCCCTGCCTTCATAAAATGTTCACCCCTCCCTTTGCATGCTTTGACAAGCAGTAAAACAGCCATCAAGTTAAACGGCTGTAAGCACATTTTGAAATTAAGCGGGGGGAGCATCTGGCCTCAATTGCAAGCAGATATTGCTACGTGTTTTGTTTAATTTTGGAAGTTTTATTTTCAGCTTTAAAACTATTTTAAACTAAAGTGTGGGATACAACTCTTCAGGTGTTACAGCTGTTACAGCCTGTCCTAATTGAGGACCTATGATGCAAAACTTCTGGAAATCAAGTAATAAAAGCACAGCTAAGAGCTAGAACTAGAAGTATTGAACATTAGAATCACTGGGAAAGAAGAATATGTTGAACTACTATATCAGTTTTTAAAGGGAAACTATGGAAAGCCCATTACAGTGCTGGAAAACATGCCATAGAGAACAATCCCACTCTAGCAAACAGAAGAGTATATTTGAAAGCTTTCCTCGCTGATGGTTCTTTTCCATCCTGTTTTGTTGTTGTTGTTTTTCTCCAGACAGGGTATTTTATTTTCTATATTATTTATTTCTAAATTCTTCACATGGTAGGGAGTCCCACGTAGCATTCAAGCAGCTTGAAAAATTGTAGGCGCTCATTTAGTGTACAACATAAACCTTTTATTACGCAGACTGTCTTTGTTCTTTGTAAGTGTTCCGGGAGATTAGGGCTGCTTTTTTTGTGTGTGTGTGTGTGATAAAAGTGAGTATGTTTATAACGAGGTTTGGTGCTATTGTTATTCAAGATGAACTAGGCTGACAATAGAGAGCCCTGCTGTGAAGAGTACATTGTATTAATGCTCTGAGCAGACTTCTCCAGTCCAGGCAACATTGAATCCCTGGCTATAATTGCACATACTAGTAATTGGATAACATCTAGTGCCCCCTTCCTCTTAAAAGGGACCGTGTTGAATTCTTTTTGCTTGCTTTCGTTGGTTTTAATTTCATCGTCGGGTATATCAATAATAGTTTCAAACCTGTAATTGTCGTTTGAGTGCTTTTCTGTGGGTTACATCGTCTCTTCCCCTTTCATTCCTCCCTCTCTCAGGAGAAATCCCAATGGCAAATTCATCAGTTGGACCAAACTGCTGTACGTGTAATTGCCAGTCAACCCTGCAGGCGATTCTTCAAGAGCTCAAGACCATGCGAAAATTGATGCAGATTCAAGCAGGTACAATGACCAGTCCCATACATACATATCCATGACAAACATCTTGTTCAAGATGGCCCTGCTCATTGCAGGGAGATTGGACTAAATGGTCTTTGGAGGTCCTTTCCAACCCAAACTGTTCTGTGATATTCTCGTTAGGGTGAATGGTCTTGTAAGACAGAAATCTGTGAGGAGACTTAGGATAACCTGGACTGTTTCCTGCTCTCTTGTCATATCATTCAAAGTCAAAGTTTCACAGGCTTCTTGGAAATACTTGCTTCTCAGATCCTTACTTGTACTATAGAGTATTATCCTGGAGGAATCTTTTAAGGCTAAATTTAAAAAAAAAGAATCTAATTCAATTAAGTACTCTAGTAATGGGCACTGAGTTTGTAGGTCAATGTGCCATTAACCACCCGCAGTTTGTTTTCACAGTGTGTTCATTCAGAGGTGCAATATGTGACTTTACTTGTTACCTGCTTACCAGTTCACTAATCTTAGGGGTAAAAAAAAATATAAGAAATTGGAAAGCCCCTTGAAGTTGCTGTGTAACGCTCCATTCGAAGATCTTTCAAGTTACAGCTCCGTGGTAGCCTCAGCTGAGCTAGCTGCTGCATGCTGTGACCTCCACCCTTCTTCAGGCTGGTTTACCAGTTCTTTTTGCTGGCTCAACCAGCAGTAATCTGTTCACTGGGGAAAATTATCCTGTCTAATTTCTTGTTTTGCTGGGTTAGGAGATGAAACAGAACAGTGCAGAGCCAGAAAGATAATGAGACTGTGGCAGCAAGGAGCTAGGTAGGTCATCATAGGCTGCTGTGAAGCTGCAGCTTCTGTGTTTCCTAAAAATTAGTGTTAATACTAACAAGAGGTTGGAGACTAATGTCAGTCGAGTTTTCCATCCAGCATGAGTGGTGGGGAGTGGAACCGTGGAGGTTTTTCTCTTAGAGTGGCTGGATAAGACCTCTGTAAGAAAAGGGAGTGTTGAGTAATTAACTGAAATATGGGTGGAGTGAAGGGCTGACTAAACTCCTTGTCCTGCAGCATATCATGCTTGAGCGAGCAACGGGAAGGATCGGACGGGTTTTGTAATATCAGTTGATAAAGATACAAATGCTTTTCTGAAAGTCATCGGTTTACAAAGAAGCACACAAAGGCCCAGTTTTAGTCTTTGCTGGGACAGGGAATTCTTCACGCGGTTGCACTGATTTCATTGAAATTATAGGCAGGATTAAAAATGGCTTGTGAGTAAGAGGTATAGAACTGGGGGTTGTGCCAGAAGAGCTGGGTCCTCAATAGCAGCAACATTTCTTATTTATTATGTATCTACAGTATAAGTACCTGATTAATTAGCGAATCTCTTTATTCAATGGGAACAGTTCATGTTTTCTGGTAGGCAGTGGTTTTGCAGAGAAAAAAAATGTAGTCTGGCGTTTTTGCTGCTAAAAGGAAAACAGAAAACCAAATGCAGGCGTAGAAGTGAAAGTGTAATAACCTGTTTTGGTATTCAAACACCCTTCTGTGTAAATGATAAAATACAAATTACAGTCTTGTAAATCCTTGCCAGAAATTAAATAGCCCAGAAATCTTTTAATAAACGGTATTCCAAGGTTTGTTCTTTTCCTCAAGCTTTGTAGATAATGGCTATTTGTAGTTTGCTTGTAGCACAAATGAGTTTGATTTGCATGTGTGGTACTTTTGGCTTTCTTTGTTCTGACCTTGATCTTACTGATTCATCCAGACATGTAATTGTATCTGCATGGCATTCTGCTGGAGGACTCACTCATGTTGATACAGGTTCTGGATTGGTCCTTTAATTTATACAATCGATTGTGGATAGTGGAAAATGCAAAATATTGATAAATGTAAAATATAATCTCTTAGATTTCGGAGGTAACACTAGCTGTCAGTTTCTGTGTATGAGCAAAACAAACTGGGGCAACTCTGGATTACTTTTTTTCCCCAGAAATTAAACTATTGAATAGTGTTTTCACTCATTCTTGACATAATGATACTTGAAATGTTCTTGCTGAGCTAATTAACTTGGTGACTACATTCTTAAAAATAACTGTAATTGCATTAGCACTTGTATTATCTTTATCAGGAAAAGATGCTCAAAGACAATGAGATTCTCAGTCATTCTAGAAGGTATACAAATTAATCATTGCTTAAGTACTTCACGTCACCAACCATCCAGTGGTCACTAGGAAGCAGAACCACATATTTCTAATTTTCCTAAAATGCTATTCATCAGATGTCTTGAAAAGCCTGATAATGTCATTATCTCTATTGTATTAGATTGGAAGATTATGCAAAAGTTATAAAATGTGGCTGGTTTATATGCACAAACTGCCCTGAAAACCGTACAGCTTGTCCAGAAGATAAGTTCAGCCTGTTGATAATTTTACGGTGTGTCTGTGTGGTTATACATGTGCTTTTGCCTATAAATTTAATTCACGACTTTCTTTCATTCAGTTGGGACTCAAAACAGACAGCAGCCTCCTGTTCCTCTGATTTGTGCGCAGAAGTCAACAATATCGAGGAAGAGAAATAAAAAGAAAAAACTGCCCCTCAAAACTGTTGAACCAATTACCATGAATAAGAAACCCAGTTCTGCAGAGAATGAAAATAAGCTGTCGGCAAACTCAGAACGATCGAGTGTGCAAGCAGTCGAACCCCCCCTAAAACCAGATACCCCTGTTTCAGGATTTGGAATTATCCTTGAATCGGCTTCATCAGATGTAAGTCAATATTTTAATATGCGGGATCACAGAATTTCAAAGCACTAACTCGTTCAGGGGAATCAGTTCTCAAGGCAGATTGGTGTGTGTTTCCATGTTTGTTACAGGCAACAAGCAAATCTTGGGTCAGGTTGAATGGGGACTGTAGGGTTAGACGTGGGGAGCGCCGATTACAAAGTTTTGAGTGGGTTGTGCTTTGGTTTGTTTTTTTTTCAACTTTTATGAGCATGTAGTTCTCACAGAATCACTGAATTACAGAATTATTGAGGCTGAAAAGCCCTCTGAGATCATCAAGTCCAGCCTATGAGCCAACACCCCCACATGGCCAGACCAGGGAAACAAGTGCCACATCCAGCCTCTCCTTAAACCCCGACTCCCCCTGCCCTGGGCAGAGCATCCCAGTGCCTGAGCACCCTCTCTGGGAGGAAGGGCTGCCTGAGACCCAACCTGAACCCCCCCTGACGCAGTTTCAGGCCGGGCCCTCTCGTCCTGTCACTGGTTGCCCGGGAGAAGAGCCCGACCCCACCTGACTGCACCCTCCCTGCAGGGAGTTGTAGAGAGTGAGAAGGTCCCCCCTGAGCCTCCTCCAGCTGAACCCCCCCAGCTCCCTCAGCCTCTCCTCCCAGGACTTTCCCTCCAGTACCTTCCCCAGCCTCGTTGCTCTCCTCTGGACCCGTTCCAGCCCCTCAGGATCTTTCTTGCAGTGAGGGCCCAGCCCTGCACACAGGGCTCGAGGTGAGGCCTTTCCCTTGAGTTCGAGGCTCCTTGTTTGAGCTCATGGTGGAAACTTGTTCTTCACTTCTCCTTTTGCTGGGAGCCACCGTGAAATCAGGAGCCATGAAAAACGGCACGTGTGTGCGCTCACAACCCTGTCATTCGCTGAGGAGAGCACGTGGTCCACACGTGTGCCCGTCCCCTGCCGAGGTGGTTTTCTGTGCTGTGTTCCGTGCCTGGCTGGACCCGCTGGCTTCACAGGACTCCTCACATCTGCAAAGTTCACACTCAGTCTTTGCCAAATCAGGTCGTTTGTTCTTCATCGCTGCTGTTGCCAGATGAAGGCCTTGACACTGTTGGCGATGTCAGTCGGTGTGACCAAAGGGAAAAGCATGTCGTTCCTGCACGTAAAATTGCAATAAGCATATTTTCTCAATTCATGTAATGTGTGTGTTGATTGAAACTTCATGTATCTGGTGGCTGATTGGCTTTGTTAAATGACCAAATAGATGTCATGTGAACCAGTTCACTGATGAGTAAACTGATCATTAATTTCTCTAATATATTTTTAATTCTGAGCAGGCAATTTCCAATTTCCTAAATACTATGAGCTAGAAAAAAACATAATGAAATTCATTATCAATAAGCCTAAATGAAAACAATGCAGCAGATAATATTCTACCTTTCTGGAAGTGGGAACTAGTAATAAAAAAGAGCAGTCACGATAATTCAGTTATATAGATGCAAGCCACACCACTAATTAGATTGCTGCCTCATGCCACAGAGTCAGTGTAGTGATACAGAGTAACTAGTTTGTTGCTTTTTTCAGAGGTTTTCCCTTTGTGGTATTATAATGTTTGAGGGAATGGTTTGGGGAGGAACTGGTAATTTATCTCCAGGACGCAATTTGTGCTTATAATTTTTCTTTGCTTGTGGCACTCTCTTCAGCTTGAAACACGGTTTTGAAAACGGTTTTGTACTTGCAATGGAAGTTAATTTGGCTTTATGAATGTGTTTCATCACTGGACACAATTTTTCGTAGGTGCCAGTTTGACTTAGGAAGAAGAAAGGAGAGAAAACATGTGGCTCATAAATCAGGTCCTCATCTACCTTCCCATGCTTTGGCCCCTGCTTGCCACAGGAGTTGTTTGACTAAATTTACAGAGGCAGAAGCCCAAGACAAACAAATTTATTTTATTTTGTCTTTGAAAAGAAAACAGTTGAGTTCTGAAATGCATCTATTTAATAGCAGAAATAAAATGTGACCTTAAACGTTTTGAGAAGGCGAAAGAAAGTCACTTCTTTCAGAATGAATGGTGGTGTTATCTTTTTCTATTTATTCATAAGCATCTCTAGTGTGCTCACAACCAGCGTGTCTGAGTGCCTGAAAAAACTGAGAAGACATTTTACGCAGCACCATAAACAAATATTCCCTTGAGAATAGTGCATGGGTTGTGTGTAGCGCGTGCTGTGTCATAAGCCAGGACTGCCGCTGCCAATATTTATTGAACTCTAAGAAAAGTCTCAGTTTAATGTGTATAAAATTAGGGCTGCTGAAACCAGTGCTATTAGTTGAGGTTTGCTGAGATGAAATACTGCTACTTACGGAGGTCCAAAAAGTCTTTGTGAGACCGACTCTTAATCTGCCCCATGAATCAGAGAACTTTTTAAATGTAACGATCTGTTAATCTTAGTTAAACTTTCTTCTGTTTGTTTTACTGTTATAATATTTCATTTATAACCTAATCATTTCTAATCTATGTAGTACAACCTACTAAAACATCTAGGATTAAATCTAATTCGCTGCCTGTTAATTTTATCACAGCAAAAGCCTTTGGCGTTCAGGTCTTACTTTATTGTACACAAATAATTTACCCACCAGTTCCTTATGCTGTGATCATTATCTACCAACAAACGCTTTGCCTTTTGAGAAATAGCATTCAAAGCGATCATAAAGTTCAATTAAGGGCTGATTGTCTTTGAAGAATAGTTTACTACTAAAGGAGAGCAAAAATAAATCAGCATTTTGCCTTCAAATTATTTTGCTGACATACACATTGATTCCTGTATTAAGAATAAAATAGTCAAGGCTAAAATAATGTTGACTTCTCTCCACTGGCGTGCTGGGGAGGTTCGAAATGTTTTTTACAGCTGTATTAGTGAAGATGATTTGTCTGCCCCAGGCGTCTTCTGTCATCGAGGTCGTCTTAGATTGCTGTCATAAGACCCGAGACCCAGGAAACAGAATAGGACAGGATACCTTCATCACCATGACAACTGCATTCTGCTTTTTGTTTAACATGAAGTAGCATTTTTCCCGAGTTACAAACTTGTCCCACGTTTACTTATTCTTGAAAATCTTTTCCGTCACCAGAAAGTTTAGGAGTAAAATATGAAAAACTCACCTACATCCGAAGATTGTCAAATATCAAATAGCCTAACTCTGACTGTTTTGTTGGATCTAGCATCTTGCAAGTTCTCAAGGTAAAAATCAACTTTTCATCCAGAACAAGCGAGAAACTTACATGCTTTTTAGATTTATTTTTTTATCACTATCTGCATACTTTAAGATTCTTCATCCTGGCTTCCCTAAACATTGTAATCTTCAGTTTTATCGCACAATACACATGCTATGCAGTGATAGAATATGTTTTGAAAATATTCTGCTTGCTGCAACTCTCTTGATACTGTTTTTTTAAAACCCATAGGAAAAGAATTACACAGCCAAATCCTTCTGAGATTGGCAGCCCTTTCTTCTGTCTAGACTCAAGACATTTGCAGGTGATTTGATGGGAGGTGACATTTCTCTTGCTCTTTAAACAGCATTGAAATGATTGCATGACTGGTGGAGATAGTTTCGTGTAGGGGAAGAAGAGTGAGTTCTTAGGCTGCAACGTTAGCTTATTTTCTCACACCATGACCCCCGTGTTTTTTAACCCTCTTGCCAACTTCCAGATAACATCTTAAAAATTTGAGTTAATTCCTGATGTGTCTTCATTCTAGATATGTATTTATTCCCCACAGATGTCTCACGTAAGCACCATGTGGCAGTCACAGAAGAAAATACTGCAAATACTGTTTGTGTAATTTCTGATACAGCCAGGGGCAGTAAAAAGACTCATAGCAAGTGGACTTGTTTGACGGCCTTTGTCTGCTTTGGTCCACAGTGTACCTGAGATGAGACTCTTGTGAAACACAAGATGATTTTGTTTCCTCTTCTTCCCCTCCATCTCACTTTCCAGGAGTTGTGTAAATCCCTGTCATTTACCGCTGAGTATTTCTGTGCTCGAATAAGCCGTCTATCTAACACCATCCTCTTCTAAGGATGTGTTTTAGGAATATAAAAAGGAGGGAGAGATGGATGATCAGCAAATGCTGGCTCCGCAGGCAACCTCAGACTCAGCTGTGGGCTGTATCTGTGCTGGAAGCCCTCTCAAGAAACCACGTGGAATGGGCCAGTAGCCCTGCATTTGTGCTTCTTGGAAATACTTGGCTCCTCCAGAGCACGTTTGTTCACATCATTGGGCAGTGAAACAGCTCTGTAAAATAGTTAGATAAATGTCCAGAAAGCATCGCATACGGGTATTGCTCTGGGTTGATCCTCTGGTTTGTCATTATTACCCAATATTGAAAGACATCTGTTTTCTTTTTGTTAGCTGTACACCTAGAAATAATGTCAGTAATTGTTAACTATTACAGCGGCTGGACATGAGTGTGATTATTTGATTTGCCTTTTAAGGTGCTTATTCACTGATGGGGTTTGATTTCAGTGAAGCAGGTTGCTGTGGTTCTGAATAGCTGGGAAAAGATTCCTGGTTTGATTAAGTGATTGTAAAGTCTCACCAGGTGCATGATTGGAGTAAAATAATGTCGCTGGATGCTCTTTTAATTAAAACATTTGTATTCTTTTGGTAGCCAGAAGTGCAACTTGCAGAAGGCTTTGACGTCTTCATGCCGAAATCTCAGCTGGACTCTATATTATCAAACTATACTCGCTCAGGAAGTCTGCTCTTTAGGAAGCTGGTCTGTGCATTTTTTGATGACAAGACTTTGGCTAACTCTTTACCAAATGGCAAAAGGAAAAGAGGGCTCAATGACAACCGGAAGGGACTAGACCAAAATATTGTGGGTGCAATAAAAGGTAGGTTTTTTGCTTTCTTTCATATGTGTAATTAGAACATATTCTTGGCTAAGGAGAGTGTAAGGGGATTAGAGTTTCTGACGTGTGTTAGGTCTATTAAAATATGCAGTCTTATTTTTACTCCCTTTCATTCACTTGTTAAAAATAGCTTCCACGGGGACAGCTTGTGTTAATTTTAAGCCACAGATCCTGGTTTCTGAAGTCAGGCTCTAAGGTTAGAAACACAATGTTCATCTAAGGTAATTTTATTTTTTTCTGGATATCGGAGATGCAAAGAAATCTTGAAAACATAGTGGCAGCGAAACTGATGTTCTTCAATCAAAATTCTGAGTCTTGCGCTGCATCTGAGTTGTGTCTGCTCTGTAAATAGTTCAGTAGTTGGTGGCTCAATTGGGGAGAGATGTAGGAAGATAATACTGGGACTGAGATGAGTTTGATAGCTCCTAAGAACGGTGAGAGCAGACAGCGTGAGGATCCTGTGCTGTGTGTTTTTTCTTAGCAATCGCTGCTTTCTGGCTTCCGGAAGAACCACATGTACCGTCAAACTCTGTGATCGCAGTGTATAAAGAACTACCATTAGGCCAGAAATTCTGTATTCTATGATTTTGAAATCTAATATAGCAGGGAAAATAGCCAGAGTTACCAAAAGACAGGCTGTGTTGCAAAGCAGAACTTATTTGAGAGACTGTGACTCTTCCTGAGGTACAGGTTGCTAACCCAGGAGACATAAGGCTTCTCTAAGTCCATTGGCAGCAAAAGAGGCAGGGGAACCTCCTGCAACCCCCGCTGTGACCACTTTGGCCCCTTCTCCACATTTAAGAAAGACATTGATGTACTGGCTTGAGGCCAGTAGAGAACCACCAAAACTTTTGGTACTGAAGCAGGTAAGTGGTGAAGTACGTATGTGAAGCGACGTATGGAGAGGCTGAGAGGACTGGAGAGAAGATGGTCTAGGAGAAACCTTGTTGTTGTCCACAACTACCTATTGGGATGATGTAGAGAAGAGTCAGACTATTCTCAGAGGCACGGAAGGCGTTGGACCTGTGGAAATTTTAAACATCATAAAAAAATTTTCAACATGGGGGTGGCAGGACAGTGGAATAGGGGCTCAAAGGGGCTGCAGCATCTCCATCTCTGGAAATATTCAAAACCTGTCTGTTCACAGTCCAGGGCATCGGGATCTAATTGGCCATGCTTTGAGCAGCAGGCTGGACGTGCACATCTCCAGAGGATCCTTTTGACCTGTGCAATTCTGCAATAAGGAATATATTGTGACTGTGTTATAGTCCTAATACATCTTATAGAGTTGCTGGAAGGCTTTGTTACGGTTATGCTTATAATTAGGTATAAACCACAAGCACTTTCTTAGACCTTCCTTTCTTGAACTCAATAATCTCAAAAATCCGAACTTGATTTCACTCTCTCTGTATCTCATTCTTTCTTAAAACCTGTAACAAATAACTTAAATGGAAGAAAAAGGAGTTCTAAATTACTTTTAAAAAAGAAAACAAAAATCAACCAACTCTAATTTGAGCAGCACTGTGAAAAAATAAGTGGTTGTCAGTAGATGCAGTGTCACTATTACTGTAGCAGTCATCACCTACTGCAGAGAGTGAAGTTTCTCAGTAGCAAATTCTGAGGTTTGGTTTGACCTCTTCCTTAGGGAGGAGTTATGGTTCCAACAGACAAATTTCTATGCTACTAGGGATCTTTACTGGCATTTACAGTATTGCCTGAGTGCTGGCGTCTGATCCCTGATCGGGGAGCCCATCCCTAAAAGCCATGAGGGAATAAGATGCCAAGGGCTGACATCCCGTGGATCTTTACTCAGCCTGGCTCCAATAGCACCTTTCTTCCCTCTGGTGAGCTGGGCTGTCAGACACTGTGGTTTCATTTATTCCAAGAAATAACTGAGCCAGTATGAAATCTCCGCCAGAACAACATCACGTTGTTTGCGTTATTGTCATTAGGACGTTCCTCAACCACGTGCCCAGATATCCTTTAGTGGCATTTTTAGTCCTTTTCGATGACGGAGATGCAGAAGTGGAGAAAAGGCTACATTCATCACAAAAACGAGCAGAGAACTTAAAAGAGGGACTGTTTGCTTGAAAATCGCTCTTCCTGTCTGAAAACATTTTAACTGCCATCCTTACAAGTCATGCAATGCTTCTGCAACAGGATGAGTAGCCGGGGAGAAATCCTCTCTTCTGACTTTGGTTATTCTGTGACACTTGTTGACTCAGTTGCAGTGTTTCTCCTGGGCAATCAGTTTCCCTTGTGAGTCACATCAGTCTTTTTTGCTCAGAACTGCGGGGAAAAAGTGAGAAAGGAAAAAAAAACCAAACAGATCAGAGGCAGTTATTTTTCCTTTATGTTGTTGACTAGAAATCCAGCCAGTGAAGTCCTTCCTTGCAGAAGTCAATGAGCTATGCTCAGATACCAGTGTGTCCCTCAGGCATCCATACTCAAACCAATACTATTTAATATCTTCATTGATGACATAGAATCATAGAATGTCCTAGGTTGGAAGGAACCTCAGAGATCATCTAATCCAACCTCCCTGCCATGGGCAAGGATGCTCTCAACTAGATCAGGTTACTCGAGGCCTCATCCAACATTGCCTCAAACACTTCAAAGGGAGGGGGCATCCACAGCCTCTCCGGGCAATCTATTCCGGAGTCCTGCCACCCTCATACTGAAAAAGTGATTTCTAGTGCACCCTCAGCAAGACTGCAGGTGACACCAAGCTGAGGGGTGCAGTTGATTTGCTAGAGGGAAGGGATTCTATCCAGAGGGACCTTGATGGGCTTGTGAACCTCCTGAGGTTCAAGTCCAAGATCCTGCAACTGGGTTAGGGCAATCCCCAGCACCAGTACAGACAGGTGGATGAAGGGATTGAGAGTAGTCCTGCAGAGAAGGACTTGGGGATGCTGGTGGATGAAAAATTAGGGACGAGCTGACAATGTGCACTCACAGCCCAGAAGGCCAATCACATCCTGGGCTCAATCAGAAGAAGGGTGGCCAGCAGGTCAAGGGTGGTGATTCTCACTCTCTACTCAGCTCTGGCGAGACCTCACCTGCAGTTCTTTGTTCAGCTCTGGGGTCCTCAGCATGAGACAGACATGGACCTGTTGGAGCAGGTCCAGAGAAGGGCCACAGAAATGGTCAGAGGGCTGGAGCACCTCTCCTGTGGAGAAAGTCTGAGAGAGTTGGTCTGTTCGGCCTAGAGAAGAGAAGGCTCCTGGAAGACCTTATTGCAGCTTTTCAGTACTTAAAAGGGGGCTTGTAAGAAAGACAGAAAGAAACATTTTGTCAAAACTTGTACTAATAGGACAAGGGGCAGCATTTTTAAACTGAAGAGGGGGTAGGTTTAGATTGGACATTAGGAAGACCTGTGTTTTTTTTTTTTATGATGAGGGTGTAGGACACTGGCACAGGTTGCCCAGAGAAACTGTGGCTACCCCATTTTGGGAAGTGTTCCACATCAGGTTGGACAGGGCTTGAGCAACCAGAGGTAGTGCAAGATGTCCCTGCCTGCAACCTGAGGGGATTTGGACTAGATGATCTTTAAAAGATCAGTGTCGGAGAAGGGCTACAAAAATGATCCAGGGGCTGGAGCACCTCTGCTATGAGGATAGACTAAAGGAACTGAGATTGTTCAGTCTTGGAAAGAGAAGATTCCAGGGGACCTCAGAACTGCCTTCCAGTGCCTGAAGGGAACCTGCAGGAAGGCTGGGAGGGACTTTTTACAAGAGCGTCCGCTGATAGGACAAGGGGAAATGAATTTAGGTTAAACAGATTTAGACTGGGTTTTAGGAAAAAATTCTTCAGTCTGAGGGTGGCAAGACTCTGGAATAAATTGCCCAGAGAAGTTGTGGCTGCCCCCTCCCTGGAGGTGTTCAAGGCCAGGTTGGATGAGGCCTTGAGCAACCTGCTCTAGTTGAGAGGCGTCCCTGCCCAAGGCACGGAGGGTGGATGAGGTGATCTCTAAGGTCCCTTCCAACTTAGGCCATTCTGTGATTCTATGAAAAGTCTATTTCAACTCAAACCAGTCTATGATTCTACGGTAGAAGAGTTGTTGGCACCGTACAGCTCAGGTGGACAAGAAAGGGGAGGTCCCAATTCTCCTGACTCTTTCCTGATGCACCCACATTCCATTTTGCCCACACTGGTGTTTCACTAATCACCCCTTGAGCAATCAAAGCTGTTGGAGAAGTTAAGGTATTGGCTTTACGTGCAGGCAGCAGTTGCAGTTTCCACAGCAGGTACTTGCAGTGGGTGGCCTGGGGACAACTCAGTGTCACAGATCATTCCCCAGCCCTAGGCACAGGCAGGACCTGCAGTTGTGTGTCTGAAGTAAGCAGGAGACTTAAATCATTGATTGTTGAGTCTTGAAACGAGAAGACCTTGGGGGGACCTAATAGCTGCCTTCCAATACCTGAAGGGAACCTACAGGAAGGCTGGGGAGGGACTTTTTACAAAAGTGTCCACTGATAGGACAAGGGGAAATGGGTTTAAGTTGAAGGAGAATAGATTTAGATTGGACCTTAGGAAGAAATTCTTCAGTCTGAAGGTGGCAAGACTTTGGAATAAATTGTCCAGAGATGTTGTGGCTGCCCCCTCCATGGAGGTGTTCAAGGCCAGGTTGGACGGAGCCTTGAGTAGCCTGATCTAGTTGAGAGGCGTCCCTGCCCATGACAGGGAGGTTGGATTAGATGATCTCTAAGGTCCCTACCAGCCTAGGCCGTTCTGTGATTCTGCGATTCTATGATGTTCCTATTGTGTCAGGTACCGTATGGCTTCAGAAGGGAAAGGTTATTTCTACCTTCAGAGAGACCGTGGTCATTGCCAGTCGGACACTGGTGACATGTGGGGCTGTCGGCACTTCCGGGGAACCCCGCGGAGCTGGTCCCTGCTGATCAGACTGCAGAGGGAAGCGTTGCTGATGCCTTTCTCATGCTGGTTTTGTGAAGCTATTTAACGTGGAAAGAGTTTGGAGGGTGTGATTACATTCAGTGCCCTTGTACTTACCAGCTAGTTTCAAAAGCGTGTGTGTCAAAATACTGGAATTGTCATTTTTTGTTGGGTGCTTCCCCATCCCAGTTGTGTGACATTTATTCTCAAGGATTACAAATTGCTTGTGCTGGGACCAGCTTTCTCTCATTGTTTGCCAGTCATAACTGGACACTGGGCTCTGGGAACTCTGACCAAGACTACAATAGCAATACTCACAGTAATAATATTTTTTTTCTGTTTCTGCTCTTGTTTATTTTTTGCACACCTCTCAATTGCTTGATGAAAATCAATTGCATCGGTTCCACTCCATTTATAATTTCGTTGTTTTGGTATAACGTTGCTACCTTTGCTGTAAGTATGGAATTAAAGATTTAACGGTGACCCTCTCTGTACCATTTTTACAAAATACAAATTCAGACCTATAGCATACTTCTTTTTTCTCAATAACGACTTTTTTTTTTTTAAGTAGCTTTGTAAAAACTCTGT